TATATATATATATATATAAATATATTTAATCGTTTGCACATATTAAAGATCGGACATGCCCATTAAGAATTTGATTTTGTAAAGAGATGAGAATTATGCCTCTAACTTAAATTTCTTTGAAACTTCAAACACAGTCATAATGCTAATACATTTGACAGATCCATTAAGAGCCATTGCACTTCAAATAGAACTGCGGAATAGTATGTATACATATCCAAATGAAATCACGACGGAGAACTCACCCAAAGATGTTAAAAAGATCGTCATCGCCCATGAATGATCCGAACAACGACATTTTGTGAGATGTCAGGATGCTCGGGAATTCGAAAAATTCAACTGTGCAATCAATAGAAAATGGGTTTTTGACTCTACACGTCAGACACGCGAAAAACGAGAACGAAGAGAACAGCCGAGAATCGTACGCAAGCTTGAGCGCCTTTCTACTCTCGTGGAACTTTCCAGAACTGATCCAGATATCGGGTGATGCAATGAATGACGAAATATATGTAGATGAGACATATGGGTTAATGTTGGATGCAACATTAAGGTACATTTTCATAAACCACTTAAATTAGAAGCCCTATGATTAAAGTCTAGCCACGACATAGCCTCGTCGATGATTGGTCCGACATTTTTCTACAATTCACCGCAATTTGAAACGTATGTACAATACATATCTATTTTGGCCATGTTTGTATATTACTGCCAATTAACTGTCAATATTGAAAATCTATTCCCATTATGTGTATTATACTGTATTAACAACGGGCAGTAATATAGGAACATAGCTTGGATCCCATACAGCACAGAACATGCAGCAATATTGCTGCAATAACGCTGCAATAATGCTGCAACATGTAGTATAGGAAATGCATTTCCTATCATGGAAATATATTTTCATTTTACACTATACAAGTCGTTTTATAGTTCAATTTTTATTTTTATATTAAAAATCTGTAAAAAAATCTGTAAAAAAACAGAAATTATCTTATTCACATCAAATATACAAATACATCGATCACATAATAAATAAATAAATAAATTCGATAAATCATTTTTAGCAGTTTAATTGCTTATCATCTTATTCAATGATGCATTAATTGTATCTAAATTCAATATACAAAATTTCATATTTAAGTTTAATTTCATATTTAAGATAAATAAATAGCTAATAAAATGGCCAGCAAATAATAGATTAATAAATTTTTTATTTAAATATAAAAATGGATATATTAATTATTATATCGTAAAAAACGGCTGTTTAAATAAAAAAGTACTGTATAATACTGTACTACATAATGTTAGAAAAAATTATATCTTTATATTATTATTATTGTAACAATTAAAAAATTATATTTAGTTTTGCAACGTTTCTGAAATATCACAGGCATAATACTAATGGATGTATAGTTGTAACATATCTGTTCAAAGATGTTGCGAAAGAGGTAGAACACATAAAAAATATAATTAATGTTAAATATAATAGTAATGTACAAATAATGACATCTATATATCTTTATAATATCTTTTTAATAATACTGTAAAATATTATTTTTATTAGCTGAAATAATACTAATTGCTCTAATGATATATATTTATTCTAATAAATTTTTTTTATATAAAAATTACAATTACTGGAAGTTCTATCTATATGTCGTCATATACTACTGCAGTAGTAACACTACTGGCTCAGCATTGACACTATTGCGTATCAATAATAATATTATTGCAGTAGCAGTGACACTAGTAGTATTTTTATACTTCCAAATGGATATTGAAAACTTGTATAATAGATTAACATTTAAATTTCATTAATTTAAAAATCGAAATCATTTCGATATCGAGTTAGAATTAGTTTAGTTAAACTTTGATAGAATCGATGATATTTTTTCTTGAGTTCGTGCTCATTTATGGTAAGAGACATTATTCCCTGAAATTCCTCAATATAAAAGTGACGTAATAAAATTATATTAAATAAACTACAAAGTACAAATAAAAATAATGTTATTCAGCAGAGTAGAACAATAAAATAAGTTACAAAGAATTACTAGAAGAAAAGATGTAAACTTTATTGACAGTTGTAAAAAATGTTCCGATTCATATAAAAAAATTCCACAATTTTCTAAAAAGTTATAAAATTATTTATAAATTCTGAAAAATTTTGAGAAAGCTTTTATGATTAGACATATTGCAATTGTCGAAATGAAATCGAAAAAAATGTCGATTTGAACAAAAATATTCAAAATATAAGATGATGTATCACAAATTTATATCAAAAATATTAAAAATGTATCAAACTTTCTACACATTGCACTCTCTACATACATAATTTTTTGTTACTCGAAAATGTTGAAATTTCGATGCAAGTTTCGAATCGACAACTTTTTCATCATAACGACATCTTTTCGACGAACTATTTCTGGGATATTACTGACATTTTACAGGCATATTGTTAATTTACATCTTTGCAATGTTACATTGCAATCTGCAACATTGCAGCAATATTGTTTCAACTTCTGTGTTTTTCAATCCAATTGCATCCAATTGAATCCAATTAAATCCAAAAAAAGTAGTTCACTATTTAAAATGTGCATTAAGATAGAAAAAAATTTTATTCCATTTTAATCCAAAAAAATTTTATTCCATTTTAATCCATTCTGATTTGCTGGACTATTAGATATATCCTTGTACAAGAAATTTTGCATTAAGCAATTCTGAATTGAATCAATCGCTGAATCGCTGAATTAATTGCTGTTTGATCGAAGTCGCCCATAGATACGCGAAGACGAACAAAATGGCGGATTCATTGGAAAAATTATTCGTCACACGAGAAAAGGATTTTATCAAACAAAATATCCTTCATGCGAAACGTTCTTATCCGGCAGAGCCCAAACAACGATCCGTCGATACTCGTTATGGCGATACACATGATTTAAAGAGGAGCGGATTACTTCCGATTTATGTGCACAAAAAAGTATGAGTATCACGTGTACAGAGCAAGATATTCCTGCTGCTCGCTTTTCATGTTATTTTTCACCGTTATGGATAATTATTTTTGGCTTTTAATAACGCTTTCTAAATTGATTTCTAGCTATTTTTTAAAAATCGCCTTTGCACGTATTTATATAAATCGTAATCAATTAGTTGCGAGCATTAATTATGACAAGTTTTAGTTATGAAATAATAATTGTAGCTTATCAGTAAACATCAAAGAACAATTACATCAATGTTATAATTTTGTACTCAACAATGTAACTATCATGCAGCATACATGTATTATATTTAATGCGCTCAGACGTCTCAATTTTAGTAAAACAGTCCCGCATCCGGGATGCTTGTTTCGCTGTCTTGTCAAATATGTCAAATGTCCCGATTGTAGCAAAAAAAAAGATTTCGCTGAAAAATATTTTATAAATATTTTGCCAAATTATAAAATCATAGAATGTGTAATATTATCGCTTCCAGGAAGTGATGCAGCAGTTGAATGAATTTTTTCTCTGCAATGAACAAAGAATGGATAACGGAGAAACTTTTATTTTGAATTTATATTTTAAAAGTTTGTATATTTTAATATCAATAAAATACAAAAATTAATTTTGATTTTTTAGTTGTCAAGAATTTTATATATTTCTTAAAAATTTATCTTTTTTTATTAAAACAGATAATTTCGAGTAATAAATATAAATAATTGTATTGTTATTTCTTAAAAAATAAATTGCTGTTATTAGGGATGCACCGGATCGTAAAATTATAGGATACCGGATATTGGATATCCATATTCTTTTCAGATATCCGATGTCTAGTTGGATATCCAATAGGGCAATTATTCGATCGGATATCGGATATTTCCCCGGATATCTGGTTGGATATCTGGAACAAGGCTTCCAAAAAAAGAGAAAGCAAGAAAAAAAAACAATAATAATTTTCTTTATCTTCCCAACATAAAAATAAAAAGAGGAAAGAGAGATGAACTGTGCAAGAAGTTTAACTAAAAAAAATGAAATTCTGCATTAAAGATGCAAATTTTCAATATAAAATTAGCCGGATATAATTAATTATAATATTACGGGTACTAATGATATCCAATTATCGGACAGAAAAGAATGTTGGATACCAAATATTTCCCGAATATGCATCCCTGTTATTATATACTGAGAAAAAATATACTAAATTTTAATAAATAATTGTTTAAATAGCACTAATATATTAATAAAAAATAAATATTATTAATAAAAAGTAAATATTTGCTAAATATAATATACAAATTAATGGTTCTTGTACTAAATAAATATACATTTACATTTAATAAATATTTAATTAACATTATTCAAATAAAGATTTATTAAAATTTAGTACATCTTCCTTCTACTTAACAAAGTTTCTTGCTTTAGATCTGAAAATGTCTGACCAGTAAACGAGAATGGATTAAAATGGATTGAAATTTTTTCTATCTGAATGCGTATTTTAAATAGCGAATACTTTTTTTTGGATTTAATTAGATTCAATTGGATTTAATTGAATGCAATTGGATTGAAAAACTGTATTTCCTATTCAAAATTTTGAATTGAATAATATTTACATGTGTGTTGTGCATAGAAAAAACTAATATTATTTTTAGATTGAAAGGCATAAAGAAATGTTCCATGCAATTCCTATAAATGAATAAAAATGCATTCAGGACTGAAAAGCATTCATTTCCGTGAATCAATATTTCTGAAAATCTAAATCCATTTCAATTCATTTCAATCCATTCTCGTTTGCTGGATAGTTAATTATATTACATTTATATCGTTGAATGGGAAAATATCAATATAATGTTACTGTTAATTTGTGTTTATCAAATTAATATTTTATATGATTTTTATGATCAATATTTTTCAGAACTATGGAAAAATACCAAGATGTATCGTAAAAGTCCGTACGAGAGTAGAGACGGCTGAAGCATTTAATGAAGATGAGACATCAAGAATATTAGCGTGTCAATATATTGACAAGGAGGAACGAAAGAAGCTGCTTGATGTAAGATCTGATTGGATATCTATGCTCGCAGTTTTCGCTTAATTTGGACAGAAGTGACTGAAGTGAGTACATCTGGAAACAGGGCATGAAGCAAAGGTGGGAGGAAGCGATGGAGCGATTCCGGAAGTTGCCATTCCTCGCAGACACATTGCCGAAGGCGCAGAAGAAAGCGAGGATAGAGCGCGAGTTGCAACAACTTGAAAAAGACATAGCAATTATCGAACAACATTCGCATATATATGTTTATGACGAAAGGATTAATGCACAAAACTGACATATTGTAACGTCGATATAACGAAAATCTATGTTAGCAAAAAAATTAACTTTCAAACTCCTGGAATTTCAAATTCTTATGAATTATATATATGTATACATATGTAGAAACACATAAGATTTCAATACATAGTAAATGAATTGCTTTTTCTATAACGTTCTCTTAAAAGTGACACCACTAAAAAAAATTAATCTAATTAATCTAATAATATAATATTAAATAAGAAATCCTTATATATTCGGTCAAAATGCATCTTAGTGTTTAAATTTCTATATGAATTTTACATACATGATTCTGCAAACAGGAAGTCGATTCTTCAAACAAGGTGAAAATTACAAAAGTGAGCAAATTTTTCTATGTGTTGACCAATAAAATTGTCAGTATCCTAATAAATTCGCTCACTTGTAATTTTCACCTCATTTCAAGATACAGAATCAATTCTTAGGATGCCGAAATCTTTTTTGGCCTTAAAACGTTTTATCTCCTATAGCACCAAAGTTGCAGCATTGCAGCAATATTGCAGCGATATTGCTACAAATTCTGTGCTGTATGGGATCCAGATTATGTTTGTATAGTACTGCCAGTTATCAGTACAGTCAGTACATATAATATATACGTAACTATAGATTTTCAGTACTGGCAGTTAACTGGCAGTAATATATGAACATGGCTCGGGTTGATATAAAATTTTTTATTTAAATGGTACATAAAATTTTGTGGAATTTAATTTGGCGCCAGTACAATTTTACGTATCATCGACATATCGGTTGCCCAGAAATGATAATGAAATCGAATCGACGTTGATTCGATGTCGATTCCATTATCATTTCTGATTGGATGTGTTCCAAAATTGATTGCAGTACTGAAAATCTATAGCACACGCGACGTAAAATGTAGCATTTTTGGTACTGGCAGTAAATTTGAAACACAGCTATCATTACATACTATGGCTGCTTTCCTTTTAGGAGACACAAGTATTGTTCATTGAATGTCAGATAGGATAAAATGATATTTATGTGTGATCACTAAAAAGAAAGGAGCCTATACAACATCAATGGCCTAGTTTCCATCGAGGGTTTAAACTGAATCAGAATGTAAGAACCAACCAACTACAATCGAACATTTCCCTATCGTTCGACTGTAACAGGGGAATACTCGACTGTAAGGATTTAATTGGTTGGTTCTTTCATTCTGATCCGGTTTAAACCCTCGGTGGAAATTAGGCCAGTGGCTGTGTTCAACGGATTCAACAGTTGAGTGAGCGTTCGCTGTTATTGGTTATTCTTTTAGATCATCCAATCAGCATTTTAAATTTGGAAGAATATATCAATAATAGCGAACGCTCACTCAACTATTGAGTTCGCTGAATGCGCCCATATCTCACGCATAATTCCAATTTTTTATTTTATATCAAAAATTTTAATTTTTTATGGGTACATCATTATGGATACATACTATTCAAAATTCTGAATAGGAAATAAATAGTTTTTCAATTTAATTTATAATTAAATCTAAAATGAATTCAAATTTAATCAATTTATTTTTAAATCCATCGTTTACAAAGCAGAATCAGAATAGTAACATCACTAACAAAGACTCTAAGTCGACTCTGAGTTGATTATAGCTTCTAGACGTCTGAAAAATGGACGTCCGTAAGTCGACCTTAGACGATTTGGAAACGTCTGTAAGTCATACAATGTCCCACTTTAAAGATTGTAAACCGACTTTAAGTCAACCATTCTAGGCTGTGGTCCGATTCATGCCCACAACGTTCATGAACAGCATTCATTCTTGTTTAACTATAGTTAAACAATAAGGACGAAATAATTCCACTCTTAAGCTTTGTGAGCATAAATCGCACTAAAGTCCTAAAGTCGATATTGGAAGAACGTCTGTATCTGTACAAAGTCGACTCTAAAGCCTGACTTAGCAAAGTCAACTTACAGTCGACATATCGACGTTTGTGCTATTAGAGATATATACTTATAAAATTGACAAACAATTAATTAACAATTGTTGATGCTAATAAAAGCATCTTTATATTTATAAATGGTTAAGTATTAATAATTAGATGTCAATGATATGAGAATCTTAAATCCTTATCCACATCTTCATCTTTTATTTCGAATAATCTTTCCCTATCACATTTTCAGCGGCATCGATCGCATTTCTACCACGGAGAAGGTCGACGTAGAAGTGCGACTCCATGGTCGATGATGGCGGTTGAAATCGATCGGACCAATCGCAATGTCCGTTCGCAACGGACGATAATAGAATATACTAGCAAGGAAAAAACAAGCAAAACGTCGATACGCAGTCTTGCAGCCCTCCTTTATAGCGACTGTGTTTCAACTCCGTTGAATCTGCCTGTTGGAAAATATTGTTATTTCTCGAAGACTTTTGCAACAGATTTACGAAGCTATTTCAAAATGGTAATTAAATACACACGGATTCGAGAATTTGCATAATTCGTTCCACGATCGCAACACTGTCTCGCAATTTTGTGTTAATTCGATGATCACCCGACGAAAATAACTTTCGAAACGATTTGAAGTATAGTCTCTTCACACAAATGGATAAAAATCGTCCTAAAAATCATTTATCTTGCAGGGTAATGAAAGTTCGCTGCCTATGGAACTCTGTTCAAACTGTAAGTTGTCAGGAATGCCTTGACTTTTACTGGATCTATCTCAAAGTAACCTGATCTGATTCATCTGATTATAAAACAAGATAGGCAATGCTATTTTAGAGATATATTGTATTCTCAGTGAAATGAATTACACAAATAATTCATATCATTAGAAATTCAAATATTGATTAAAAATTTATTAACTTTATTGTCTTATTTTGTGATATAAATATGATTGTAAATATTTGTTCTTCAGTCGACGTAGATGAGATTAGAAGATTGGGGAAAAGATTTCGGAAGCTAGACTTGGATAATAGCGGAGCACTCAGCATTGATGAGTTTATGTCCCTGCCTGAGTTACAACAAAATCCATTAGTGCAGCGTGTAATCGATATATTTGACGCAGATGGTAATGGAGAAGTAGATTTTAAAGAATTTATTCATGGAGTGTCTCAATTCAGCGTTAAGGTAAATTTCGTTTTCCTATAGAGATTATATTGTGTTTTTATACATAATGCTAATTTGCAGGGTGACAAAGAGAGCAAATTACGATTTGCATTTAGAATTTATGATATGGATAATGATGGTTACATAAGCAATGGAGAGCTTTTCCAAGTGCTAAAAATGATGGTAGGCAATAATTTGAAAGATACACAATTGCAGCAAATTGTTGATAAAACAATATTGTTTGCTGACAAAGATGAAGATGGTAGGATTAGCTTTGAAGAATTTTGTTCTGTAAGTGATGCATTTATATCTTGTAATGTGAACAATATATCATGTACTTTTTACTGCTGTTTCAGGTTGTTGGCAATACAGATATTCATAAGAAAATGGTAGTTGATGTTTAAGTGACCAAAGTTTGTGAAAAACTCTTAATTTCTAAAACGTGGTATGTTAATTAAAATCTATAAATTAATAATCTATTAACAACAGATTTATGGGATAGTTCTAACAGAGATCTGTTTAGAGTGAATTTACACAATTATTGTTCTTAAGCCTTTGATCATTACAAGTCTATCCAAATGAAAAATTTTCATGGTATGCCAGACTAATTTAGTGTGGCATATGAATGTTAGATCTATGTGATACAGTCATTTTGGTGTCGTTAAAGATATCCTGGAACGATCCAAATTATCTTGAGCGTTCCATTAAAAATAAAGACCAGCAACGTGATCTTAAATAATTAACAATCTTTAACTGACATATTAAGTTTAATGCTGCATGGTTTCCAAGATTTTCCTCGAAAATTTGTGGCAAAGTCAGTCTTCTCAAGCGCCTGTCGGAAAGGACTTTCAGACATATAGATGCACTTTGTTCCTTTTAATAATTCTCCGTGGAAAAGCACGAAAGTAAAATCAAATCACATTATTAATATAATCACCATGAAACCTATCATATTTCTGTCATTGTTCAAAAAATAATTGTTAATATCTTTGACGTTTTAATATCGTTAAAGATTTCATTCGTCGGCGAATTCTTAAGAATATTTACTTTTAAATTAAATAAATATCTTAATATATTAATATTCACAAGTATTAATATATTAATATTTTGAAAAAAAGTTATAAACATTTAGATAAGCCAACTATTAAAATGTATTTATGTTATATAATAAACAATCACGAATTGTGCATTCGGAATATACAGTGAAGCGGAGTTTTTGCGAAGTTACATAAAATATTAATTATATTAACCTATGAGTCTATTTGATTAGCCTTTGTGTGTATAAGATGTGTGTGTGTATAAACTGTATGTTGGTATTGAATTGTCAATTTGGAATTTTCGAATGTACGATTTATTTATTTATTTAGATATTTATTTATTACATATACACAATTAGTCAGAAACTTATTATAATTTATCTTTATCAGATACATTAAGATATTTATAATACAAATAAGTTTATTTTATCATTGTTAATTGTTTCTATGTATACTTACATGTTACATGATCTATTATCATATGTCTAATTAAAGTTTAAAATTGTGAAATATATTAAGATTAATCTATTATAAATATGTACGTTCATTTTCTATACGTATACAGAATATGGACGTTCTTAACGATTTAAGTTAAGCACATTTATGTTATTACAGTAATTTATTATATATATATAATTTCTGTATTATGTTCGATGAATTGGTATACTCGTGCAATAAATTGAAGAAGCGAAACAAATATAGTTTATTTTTACTTCAATTTATTGCATTGTGTGCACTAATTCAAAGAATTTTTCGATAAAGAGCCTTTTCATGGGGAAGATTTATAAATTGACCAATTTCTTTTTTATGATTTTTTTTTTATTTTGCTTCATTATCATGGTATTTCAATTTAATGAGTTAAATTAATGAGGAAATTGATGTCGAAATATCGTAGTGCTGACTACAACGATTGCGCGCAGAATAATCAGCGTTTTCATTTGAACAAAGTTGAAACGAAATGAGAACGAATTGGACAAAATTCAGGACAAAATAATGTATCCAGAAAAATTTACATAATTGCAAATATACATAAAGAAATTCAATTATTTAATATTAAAAAAAATCTTTTATATTCTATAATCGATTTAACTAATTTTCTGCAATTATATGCATTTCCGTCTGGAATATAGACTTTCATGTACAGATTTTTTTTTAGAAATAGAAACTTTTTTTTTTTTAGATATTTTCGTCTTAAAAGAAACTTATTTTTCGTTAGAAATGTATAATATATTTATTTTATGTATTAGAATTATATCAATTTGAAAAAAAAATAGTTCTCGAGATATCGCTTGGAAATTTGTGACGCCATCAGTTGGTAGCCCTGCTGTTCTCCCTCCTCGTCGCCGCTCTCATTGTTGCTGTTTTGTGGCCGGTGTGTTTGCTAGTTTACATTTTTGGTTGTTTCTCTTGCGCGGAGTATTCCTTCTGAGATTCCTGGGATTTTTACGCGACTCATCTTGTTGACAAACAATCGGGATAATTGAGAGAAAACGTAGAAGACTCGTCGGTGGTGGTAGTTGGCGGCGGCGGAGACGATGGAAAATCTGGAGGAAGTGTTACAGGCACTCGACGAGTTCCAGAAGATGCGACCGTCGGTGATCCCACAAGAGCTCGAGGATTATCTGTGTTGGGTCGCCAAGACCGGCGATCCAGTATATCAGTGGCCATTGATCAAGACCCTTGTCCGGGAGAAGCTCACCCGTGTGATGACGGACTTTTATGAAAGCTGCCCCACTCTGGAACTCGCGCCCTGTCCGAACGTCGAGCATTTCAATTATGATATCATGAAGAGCAACCTCCTCGAGAGGTTGGAATCGTTCGCGAACGCGCCTTTCACCGTTCAACGAATATGCGAGCTGCTGACGGCGCCGCGTAAGGAATATAATCGCGTGGACAAGTTCATGCGCGCCATCGAGAAGAACATTCTGGTGGTATCGACGCGCGAACCTGGACCCATAACCAGACGTGGCGAAACGGGCGATGGTATGGTTAACGGCTCCGTCGAAGAAGACGCAGCTTCCGTTACACAGCAACCACCACCGCCGTCACCGTCGCAGCCCTCTTCACAGCCTTCCTCGCAGACGACTCAGTCGCAACCGGTGCAACCAGTACAACCAACCTCGCAGGACGTGGAGATGGAATACTGGGAGAAAGATTGTAGCTCCACCGTTACAATTAGCGTACATACCGTCGAGAACGAACAACCGCTTATGCACAGCAGTGTCATACCGGCATCTGATTCTACCTTGACCAAGAATCTATTTACTGAGGAGACTGCACGAGAGAAGGTCGAACAAGTTACCTCTAGAACGGATATCTCGGCGACCAATTATATCACTACAGTCTCAGACTTCTCCACTATATCGAATTTAAATTTACAGCCACACGGATCAGAAGCCATAGCGACTGCTGTTCCTGTGGTACAGAGTCTACCGGCAGTTGGAGCAGTCTCTGAAGACTCCATGATTCCGAGCACTGATATAGCAGTGGCGATCATGAACGAGGACACCAATTCTCAACCTAATTTAGACCTGGAGAATGAGGAGATTGAGGCAAGCACAGCAATAGCAAGTACCACGACATCTACAACGACGACTACGACCACGACGACTGTTACAGCAACAACAACGACAACGACAGCAACGTCAACAACATCGGTATCAACGGCGGCGACGACGACGGTGACCGTGGTGGCTACGGTGATACCGTTAACGACAGATACCACGCGGAAGCTACAAGCTGCTTTCCAAGCAAAACGCTTCGAATCCAGTGATAAGTCTGTGGACAAGTCCAATGAGAAAACCACGGATTCGTCGAAGTTAGGTAGCGTGGAGGAGGAGATTGGGCAGTCCTTGAAAGATGAAGAAACGACCAAATCGAGTCCTGATCATATAGATCCCAATGAGATGCCTCGTGATGAAAGTAGATTAACTGAAAGTTTATTACAGACCGACGTCGAGATGAAATCTGACGCTTTGACGGATGATACTGAAAGTGTTGAAGAAAGAGCTCGCGATAAACCAAAGGAGGAATCGTCAATCCTTGAGGACTTGGATGAGGAAAACTTGCGTTCCACGAGCAACCACAATACAAATGCGATGGCACTCGTCGAATCGCAGTCCATGGAAAAAGATAGCACTGTCCCATCCAATGAGTGTGTGAGCGCAGTCATCGTGTCTAGTACCGAAGCGTTATACAAAACAGAAAAATCCGAGATACACTCTAAAGAAGAGTCTGAAACAATTTCTTCCACAGAGTGTTTCGCACATGATCAATCTATTAGTCAAAAAACGGAAAGTGTAGAAGAGACGGATAAAGACCTAAAAGCTATTCCTACAACAGCATCTTCCAACAGCAACACTAATGGACAAGAAGAGCAAGAATCTGATAACAACGATAATTTAAACATTATGGAAATTTCCAATGACAAAATGATTCTTGTCGAGTCTATGACACCGGATCCAATAAGCGTAGAAAAATCTAAAGAAGCAACATCTGTAATTGAAAAACTCGATCCTGTCTCACCTACTGTCGAAACAATAGAAAACTCCGATAATGTCAGTTGTCGATCTCCAAAGGATGACAAGTTAACAGGCGATCAAGACGACAATGTAGCAAATTCACAAGGCAATAAAACAACGGCAGGCATCACGATAAAAGGAAACCAATCTTCTGTAATAGAGAGTATAGCATGTAGAAAGGAATCGGAGGAATTAATGGAAATCGACGATGAAGAATCATTATCGACGTTTCAACAGGATGAACCTATGGAGCAGGAAGCAATGGAGGAGCTGCCGAAAAGTTAATCTTGACTTATCTAATTGGCATGTTTCTCCTTCCTTTTGTTTAATTTTTGATATCTATTCCTAAGATAGATGTCAGAATATGAACCAATTCGTAAATATCTTTGCACATGAAGATGTTTGCGACATGCACTTTTGTGAACTGATTTTTTATAAATTAAATTTTTTAATAAAAAAGAATGATAGTATTTCGTTTATAGTAATAATAATTTTCTTTTGTAATTCTTTATATTAAAAATATAAAAATTTTTTTAAATTACTCGCTCTCTCGACTTTAAGATAAAAAAAATTATTGATATATATCTTGATTCAGAATCGTTTGTAGTGATTTTCGGTTTGTAGTTGCACCATTTAAAAATTACAACGATAAATAAAAAATTTTAACGATAAATAAAAAAAATAATTTTGCCAATTCTTAAAATATCTCAAATTCGCTCACGGGATATTTTTTACAATCGTTGTGATTGTAGTGCTTTTCCAATCGTTTGTAATTAAGCCGTTCAAAAGTTACAACAAATTTGTAAATTTACGTATACTATATGTAATTTGTTTATTGCAAATTTGTTGTAACTTTTAAACAGTGCAATTATAAATGACCGGAAAATCATTACGAATAATTACAAACGATTCTGAATCAAGATAACAATTTTTTTTTTAAGTCGAGTCATTTTTTTTAATTTTAATATTTTTTAATATATGGACACTACAAGCAAAATTATTGTTAGTACAATTACAAACGAAATACTATAATTTTTTAATTGAAAAATTTAATTTATAAAAAGTCAAATACCAGATTCTCACAAAGGTGAGACATGCTTGTGAACGCGATATATATATAAATAATTTTCATAATCGGTAATTATTATGAGAATCATGAGATTTAAAGTTTAATTGTGAGCAAATGTTAGGTAATGCTCAATGAAAATTCTTTATCATCTTAACTTAAATATTAATTGCTGCTTTATTTATTTGGGATTTATCATTAGACTGAATAAGCTCCGATATTTACTTATAAAGAGATTTATCGAAATGAATTTTCTATAACTCTTGGAGGGAAAAAGAACACTGCCTACTCCTAAAAAGATTGTAATACTGTAAAACCGCTTGTATAGAAGTCAAATTTGGTAAACATTTCAATACAGATTTATACAAATACCACGGATATCTGCTTAGAATAAGGTTGTGCCTATAATTATTGTGTACATTGCATATTGGACAAATATACCTAATGAATAAATTTTTAAATAATGATGTATGAGTACAGTACGTATTCGCGTAACATTTTTACAATCGAAGTGAATGAAACAGTTTCATTCGTAATCACAGCCTTGTACTAAGTTCTGATTAAATCTGGAGACATATATGCCAAAGGAACCAATTAATTCCGAGAATACGTTCGAGATCAATCATAGATATGTTCCTTATAAAACTTTTTACAATATATAGCAGCATTTGAAGACATGAAAACACTATTGTTTCGAGCTGTTTATTAAAATTGCTTAAAACTAATTCGAGATCAATTATATTTTGAATGTATCGTATAATTAGTTTCTATTATCATTATAGTAGGCAAGTAATTCCTTTTTTTTACAACTGCTTGCTATGTATAAAAGAGAAAAAGACTCTCTAGTAGAGCAAGCTATGTTCTATGAGCTTATGGTTAGCTCTTTGTGATCGGACATTAGCATGCTGGTTCCTTCAATTTCCTATATTTTGACAAATACAGAATTCAAATTCAATCTATATGGTTATATATATAATAAATCTGAGTGAAAAAAAAATCTAAAGTGGCCCATTGCAAACCAATAAAATTGATCTTATTAAAATCGAGCCACGAATTAGGACCCATTAGCATTATGTCGAATCGCTTTACAGTTTACAGTTATATGTATTTGCACAAAATGTTCTCAAGCGGATTCGATACGGTTCTACTGAAACGTTATTAGAATATTGTAGGAATGGGATATTAATTTAAGAATTAATATAGATTAATAACACATAATATACGAATGTGGATATCTAAAAAAATAGCTGTATATTATTTTATAAAAAAAATATATAAAAATGAGAGATTGTCAATTTTCTATCTTTTATTCGTAGTTGTGTATGTACCTGACCTTATTAAAAGAAAAATATTTTAAAAGAAGTAGAAAATAACACAAGTATGAACGATCGGAAGGTATTGTATTCTTGCCACAATGTAATAATTATACCTCGCTGTGTCTGTGCAACTATTTTCGCGAATAATATGTTACGTATCTTTCTATAACATTCAGCAATAAACATATAGCACTAGATATAGTATTTCATTCTTCTATTTTTTATTCCAATTAAATAACACATATTCCTCAAGTCAAGAAATGTGCCAATAATGTGCGCAATTTTTTTACATAATTTTGAATATTTAAAAGATAATAAATATACATATGTATATACATATAATACATTAACCATAAAAACAGCGTTAATGAAACAGTAAATTATTGTTTAACGATTTGTTTTATACATCTATGCGAATGTTTGATGTTTTACTAATTTTTTGAAAAGGCCATGCTCCAGATTCATTAATTCGACGTAAGTGCCGATTTCCGCCACTTGTCCTCCATCAAGTACCACGATTTTATCAGCGTTCTTTATTGTACTAAGTCTGTGGGCAATTGTTATCACTGTCCTTCCACGGATTGCACGTTCTACAGCTTCTTGAACGAAAGATTCACTTTCTGCATCTAAAGCACTGGTTGCTTCGTCCAGTATCAAAATTTTTGGTTTCTAGAGACAACAAATAACGTATTATTATTATTATTATATATATATATGTGTGTGTGTGTGTGTGCTGATTATTTTAATAATCACGAATGTATTTAAGTAACGATTTACCTTTATTAATGCCCTGGCAATGGCAACTCTTTGACGTTGTCCGCCACTAAGGGCAATACCCCTTTCCCCGACTATTGTGTCTAATCCATCAGTCATTTTTTCTGCAAACTGCAATACATGCGCCTGTCTTGCAGCCTCTTCTACATCAAAATCTGTCGCAGATTCCATTCCATACAATATATTATCCTTTATTGAACAACTGAAAAGAATTGGCTCCTGAGATACAATGCTGATCTGAGACTTCAACCACGCAGGATCAAGCAGACAAAGATTGTGGTTATCCAAAAGTATCGATCCTTTTGTAGGGTCGTACAATCTTAGTAAAAGTGACGCGACGGTAGATTTACCGGAACCCGAGGAACCAACAATAGCCGTCACAGAACATTTCTTTATGTTTAAATTAAAACCTTTCAACACAGGCATCTTTTCTCGCGTTGGATATGCGAAAAAAACATTTTGGAACGTCACATTGCCTGATAATTCTTTTCCTAAAATTTGCCCACCTTGAATGGGAATAAGCGGCTGTCGATCAATTAATTCAAACAAACGAGCATTAGCACCTAGAGCCTTATTTAACTCGCTATATGCCTTAGATAATCCATTGAGAGAGATGCCCACATAGCTAGCATATAATAAAAAGGCGCTTAAGCTTCCAATTGTTATATCGGCATTTGATACCATAAATACTCCATTGTAAAGGACTAAAAGAGCAATAACGTTTCCAGAGAAACCAGTCATACCGAAAAACATTCCTCTATATAAACTTTCCTTATAACATAATTTTAGAACGTCTTGTAATTTAGCGCTATATCTATTAATCTCGCGTTTTTCTTGCGCGAACGCCTTGACAGTTCTTATATTGCCAATTCTTTCCTCCGCAGTTGCATTGACCACTGCAATACTGCTTTGGAGATCCTTGGAAACTTTTTTCAAAACACGTCCGCAAATAGCAGCAAAAACTGCGACAGGTGGTACTATAGCCAAACCGAGTAAAGCTAATGATGGTGATACATAAAACATCATGGACATTCCTGTTATAGCCATAATAGCGGAACGCAAACCATCTGATACATTGGATGTCACGGCAGAGCTAATAAGTTGTGTATCTCCTGAAGAAAAAATATAAAATCAAAAAAGATTTTAATGCATTCAATCATTCACATTACTACACTTGATTAGTATATATTAAAAACTGCTACATATAACAAATTCAATCACTTCCATTAGATTAATGCATAGATTAAAAGCTGCTGCAATGAAATTAGTAAATTAAATGTAAAAATATATAAATATATATGTATTATTTCATTATCAAAAATAATTATACTACTGTATGTAGGTACTTTATATAATACTTTATATAACAGCCGTTTTAATGTGCACTAGTCCAATGCATTGCAAATGACTGAATTCATTAACAGAAAATACCTAAATGTAGTAATATAATATAATCAACTTTGACAATAATACATC